TGTGATGTTCAATTTGTTGTGGACTGTAGCTTTAAGCTTTAGTCTATCATACAAACATTCATATGGATTTATAAAACAAGGCTCTGCTTTGCTAACAAGGCCTTAAAAAGTTGCATTGTAAGTTTTAATTAGTTATTTTAAATGACAGATTCAAGGTAGGAGAGAAGAAAATGATGAATGATGTATATGGAAAAAGTCAACGGGGAGGAGAGGACCTCAATTTTGTCCTTCTTGCTGGCTCTCTTTCTAGCTTTTCATTTGTCTTTTGACTTATTTATCCAGTCGAGAGGCAATATTAGCTGTGGTGGATTTCAAAATGCAAGCCCACAACACACAGTCTTCAGAGGGGGAACCCTATTAGTGAAAACCAGAGACATCTTGCGCAGCCTGTCTCTGCGCATCAGCATTAGAATTTCAAAGTAGCTTTTGATTGTTTGATCTCATATCCAAAAATTATTGTTGGTTATAAAAAGGGAGTGTGAGAAAAAGCAATTACCATAAGGCTGTGGTTCTATTAATACCCCGTTTCCTCTGTAGTCTTGTGTCTGGTTGTGATCCATAATTAACAGTGAAGAGATCCCATTTTCACCTTCTGTGTGGTTCCCCACTAGACCAGCTCTCTGGAGAGCAGCGAGAGCAGCGAACAGATGATACTTCACACTACAGAAAAACTAGAAAGAGCCGATTTAGGATATTACAACCTGACAGAATGCAGCCTACAGTATACTGACACTTAAATATTTAAGATTTTTAATGTATCAACAGAAATATACATTTAAGCTAAAGGCAGCTATAACTGTTTATAAATCCTGATGATTTGAATAGGTGGATCATATCATTAAGTTGAGCTGTGTATCTGGCTGCTCGGTCTAAAGGTTACAGAACCTTTGGATTGAGAGACTTTGCTTCTAAACTGTGAAACACACCAACAGCCAGTGAGATTGCATTGATGTTTCTTTTTCCTATTGTGTAAGAAATTATGTTAACCCCGCCTCTGAAGCAGCTGCAGTCACATCTATTGTCATATTCATGTCATATTGTACCAACCATAAATTTATGCATGAGTGGGAAAAAACATCCATATCTAACTTGAGTCATTGCCCACATCTTACAAATTGTGCTTAATGTGACCCTATTGCCACAGAATCTAACTATTGGATGATTCTGTCGAACAGCAGATTACATTCAATGCCAACGTTTAAAAAATCCAATATGAACAAGATTCCCAGGATAAGGGGAAAAATGGGCTGGTGTGTTAATTGTTGCTCCAGTGTTGGAAAAACAACTCAGCCACAGTTTTGCTACAGCAGTTCGCGAGTCAACTAAAAATGACATAAATGACACAAATACGTCACTCGCTGCTGGTTGGTTAGGGCAAATAATCCCACCTTCCAAACAGAACAGTTTACACCAACACAGTGTCAGATGTCACAACAAAACAGTCTTATAACGAGGCATCTAGATCTTATATGAAGTTAGTTCTGAAATATCCCACTTCGTAAAAAACAAACCAGCAACAAACAGACATAAGTGGCAGTTACATCTGAATGAAATCCAAAGTTAACACCAATACAATCAATCCAGCTAAAAAAGGAGTCACATATTCTTTGTATCTGGTAATGAACTACTACAAATGTAATAAATACTGCTAATTTAGGCATTATGTCCATTACAAGGCTAGCAATGCGAAACGGATCAATACCAAAAAAGGTTTTTCCTGTTCTTCCTATTTTACAGACACAGCCGTGAACGCAGCAGAAACTTCTGAATTAGATCAAAAACACTAAATCAGTGTTTAATACAGGTTGTATTTTGAATTTGAAAATATGAAATGGTTTTTAAATTTTCAACTACACAAAGATCTGATATCACAGCCTTTTGCAGTTTGTTTAATGTGGAAAGTCTTTTCATAAAAGTGGTAAAAATACAAAACAATGTGCAGCTCTATTTGGAGAAACAAAAACAGAAAAGCCTCAATAAAATCCCTATTTGAATAGGATCAGTAGCGCCTTTATATTAGAATAACAATATCTATATAAATAAAATCTGGCTGTATTGATCATCTCTCCCCAGAGCCCCTGACAACTGCAGTTTATCTCCATAATAATCAGGCCTGCACTAAATACACCAAAACAAGGAGATATTAAAAACACAGCATTCAGCATTGATTAGCACTGTTAATTTCTCACTCAGCGGTGCAGCGTAAGTGAGGCTGTGGCCTGCTGAAGAGGCGCGATGCTGCAGAGCTCACTGGGAACGATGACAAAGTTCTGTTACAAGACAGACTCTTTCTCACCGTTTATCTTCTATCATAAATGGCACAGTGGTAAATAGAGGTCTGAGTAAACTACGAGTTTCAATTGCCTTCTCTTGTAAAGGCAAACAACATCAAATATACACAAATTTAAATCATTTGAAAGAAAATGAATGATTTGTTTACCCATTTCAACAAGTCAAAACTGCCTGTTTGTCATTGTCTTAAAAAATGGTCAAGATCTTGTTAGATTTAGGAAATATCTAATATCTATATAATATGACCTTTGAGTTCAGTAGCGAGGTGTAAAATCCAAGAAGTGTGCAGCACACAAAGTAGGTTTGGAGTCGTCAATCTCCTCCATGGGAAAATATTGGTTCATGCCGGCATCAAGTACTTCCGCCTCTGATCACATGTAGGGCCTAAGGAGTTTTTGCAGCAGTATAATGAGCCCACAACACTCTCTCGTTTCCTTCCTCGACCCTCTTTTCTATTTCACACAGCTGTATCATCTTGTTTCACAACCAAAAGCTAAAACTGGTTTGTAGTGGAGCAAAGGTTGAATATAAACAGCAATATAAGACTGACACTGACATCAGAAGTGTCCGATTTGGCATTTGGAACATCCATCTGTTTTTTGCCTGCAACGGGCAGTGTTCCTGTTATAATGAAAGGGCTTCTCCGCTGACACTTGGCCCATTAACATAGTTTGCATTGTGGCTCACTTGCTTACAGCAGTTGGATTCAGTCATGACATTTTTTGGGTAGCTAAAAGGACAAACCCAGAAAAGAGTTTCCTGTAAAGCAACAACTGACTGGTGAAGAAAATGAACTAAGTACATTTCTGAAATGTCATGGTCTCCCCTCTACGTTTGGCTGAGTACCATTACTCGGTAAAATCTATTAAACGTTTGTCTTTTTTCTTATGCACCCTCTGCTTGAGCCGCCGCAAAGTGAAAGATCACCCTTTGAGGGATTTCCATTTGCCTCCTTTGTGCCATTCTAGATGAACTAATTATGTGATGAAAAAAGTAACTGATTTCATTTCAAACAGGACATTAACTGCAGATGATGGAGGGAAGAAAGTGAAGTTTAATCGCCACAGTTCCTACAGTGATGATTTCTCCCTCGAAGGCAGAGGTTTCCATTTATTAGATCCTCTGTTATCTAAAGGAGAAAAAAAACAGCCCTCAGGACGAAAGAGGGAGAGACCGACAGAGGGGAAGACAGAGAACTGGAGAAATAGCAGGAAGTCTGGGTAAATAAACCAACAGCGCAGTAAATGCAGCATTGCGGTTCTGCTGTGATATGAGACTCTCATAAATAATGGAGCTGAGTGTAGGCCGGCCTGCCAGCAGCCAGTACGCTGCTCCTCACACTGGGAAAACAAGGCTAAACAAACGCCCTGCTAGTCAGGTCACAGGTGGCTAAACACACATCACAGTGCAGGTATCAATCACAGGGAACATACACACCTGTGTGCACAAAAAACACAAAACCGAATAACAAATGTTCAGACTGAGTGAAAGATGTAAAGTGGGCATTTACAGCTTTTTCAAAATCATGGGCCGTAAAACCAAAATAATAAGCTGAAAGATGCTAAATGACTCATTTGATCCAGTGTCAAGAGAAAGATATTGATTAGAGCTAGTTAGATTAGATAAGACTCTCACATACCTATTTGTCAATTTTGATTGATAAAAAATATTATAGCTGAATTTAAGAATTACAATTCGCAGCATTAACATTTGGTAGTTTAACAACAAAAATAAACTTTTAGATGTACGGCAACATAGAAAAGAAAATCAAGATAAAAGTCAATCCAAAGCAATCTGCTTCAGCTGCCATCTGGGTGGGTTTTTTTTGGTAAAAAACCAAAATCAATGAGCTTTACATTTGTAGTATAACTATTCCTGTGCACAATTTTCAGTTTGTGTTTTTTTTTAATACATTAGAGTGACGTCTCTCACTAAGGCTACGTTCAGACTGCAGGCCAAAGTGACCCAAATCCAATTTTTTTGCTCATATGTGACTCAGATCTGATCTTTTTATAACAGTGTGAACAGACCAAGTCACATGGAATCTGATCTGATCCAGGATTTGGGACACTTTCCTATGTGGTCCAAATCCAATACAGATCAGATCTTTTTAAATGCGACCTGAGTCTGAACACTCAGGTCAGACTTAGACGTCACTCTAGAGCAGCTGCTGTCACAGTTCTTGCTGTAGACGGAGCCGCTATGAACAAGAAAGCTCCAGAAAAGCCATAATTAATTCCCTTTCTTCCACATGTAAGCCTCCGGACTGTCCGCTCTCTTCTGAGTTATGTGCATGCTACTTGTCCGTGCGGACGCATTGGGGAGAGAGAGAGACTGTAACGTTAGTGAGTTGTGGGGCAGTTGCGTTACAGCGGCAGAAACCGTAATGAACAAGACAGAAAATTGTGAACATTTGTCATAATTCGAGAAAAATGTGACCCGTGAGAGGACAATGAAGTACGGGAGTCTCCTGTGAAAATTGGAAGGGTTAGCACGTAGGAGTTAACCTCTGTGGCTCTGTTTACTTCTGTACAACAGCTTCCTGCGTGTGACGTGTTATTCTGTGCCTGCGGATCACTTGATATGGGCCACATTAAGCAACAATGTCAAACTAAAAAATCTGATCTGGGAAAAAAATCGGAATTGAGCATTAAGACCTGCAGTCTGAACGCACCCAAAGTGAAGAAAAGTTTAAACCACTTAAGCAG